ACATTAAAACCATGTCTTTGCTTTTTGTTCCAGTCAACAGACCTATGAAATAGTGTTTATGATTTATGTAATTTCCCTGTTATTGAAAAATCATATTATTATTGTCTGTTGGCTGTTTACTAATCAGAGATGGTTTCAAGTCCAAAAAATTAGTTGTATCTGCTGCAGTTGCTTTAATTGAATTGAATTATCAAATTCTTAGTCCCACACTGATGAAGATGTAAACGAAATGTTGTAACCAATTTTACAGGGTGGGACCCTGTGCACCGTCGCTCACATAGTTTAACACGGTAAATCAGACGATTTTTTGATTTGATCTATTGATGATGGGATTTCGTAGAACACGAAACGTCCTCAAAATATCATGAAAGAAAGGGGGCTCGAAGAACCACATCTACATTCCGAGTTTCAGCCCCCGAACTAAGAAGGTACTAAGAAGTTAAATAATTAAGTTGTTATATTGCTTACAAAATCATCAAAATCGGCTCACTAGAACAAAATATATTAAACTTTAAAATACATAAAAACTTTAAGGTGCCTGTTGTAGAGGTGGGCAAAGATTGAACGAGTCGTTCATTTGAACGAGTATTAAAATGAATCGTGAGATTCGATTCATTGCTTAGAATACGGTTCGTTCGATTGAATCGTGACCAGCACGGATCCATAAAATTTAAACGAACGAGTTGTAAAAAAGACTCGTGAGAGTTGAATCGGAGTACAATGCAATCGTTCTTTTATACAGCTCGTTCGTTCAAAGAGTAGTGAGAATTGATTCATTACTTACAATACGGTTCGTTCAATTGAATCGTGACCAGCACGGATCCATAAAATTTAAACGAACGAGTTGTAAAAGAGTCGTGAGAGTTGAATCGGATTACAATGCAATCGTTCTTTTATACGGCTCGTTCGTTCAAAGAGTAGTGAGAATTGATTCATTACTTACAATACGGTTCATTCAATTGAATCGTGACCAGCACGGATCCATAAAATTTAAACGAACGAGTTGTAAAAAAGAGTCGTGAGAGTTGAATCGGATTACAATGCAATCGTTCTTTTATACGGCTCGTTCGTTCAAAGAGTACTGAGAATTGATTCATTACTTACAATACGGTTCGTTCAATTGAATCGTGACCAGCACGGATCCATAAAATTTAAACGAACGAGTTGTAAAAAAGAGTCGTGAGAGTTGAATCGGATTACAATGCAATCGTTCTTTTATACGGCTCGTTCGTTCAAAGAGTACTGAGAATTGATTCATTACTTACAATACGGCTCGTTCAATTGAATCGTGACCAGCACCGACCCATAAAATTTAAACGAACGAGTTATAAAAAAGAGTCGTGAAAGTTGAATCGGATTACAATGCAATCGTTCTTTTATACGGCTCGTTTGTTCAAAGAGTACTGAGAATTGATTCATTACTTACAATACGGTTCGTTCAATTGAATCGTGACCAGCACGGATCCATAAAATTTAAACGAACGAGTTGTAAAAAAGAGTCGTGAGAGTTGAATCGGATTACAATGCAATCGTTCTTTTATACGGCTCGTTCGTTCAAAGAGTACTGAGAATTGATTCATTACTTACAATACGGTTCGTTCAAGTGAATCGTGACCAGCACGGATCCATAAAATTTAAACGAACGAGTTGTAAAAAAGAGTCGTGAGAGTTGAATCGGATTACAATGCAATCGTTCTTTTATACGGCTCGTTCGTTCAAAGAGTACTGAGAATTGATTCATTACTTACAATACGGTTCGTTCAATTGAATCGTGACCAGCACCGACCCATAAAATTTAAACGAACGAGTTATAAAATAGAGTCGTGAGAGTTGAATTGGATTACAATGCAATCGTTCTTTTATACGGCTCGTTCGTTCAAAGAGTACTGAGAATTGATTCATTACTTACAATACGGTTCGTTCAATTGAATCGTGACCAGCACGGATCCATAAAATTTAAACGAACGAGTTGTAAAAAAGAGTCGTGAGAGTTGAATCGGATTACAATGCAATCGTTCTTTTATACGGCTCGTTCGTTCAAAGAGTAGTGAGAATTGATTCATTACTTACAATACGGTTCGTTCAATTGAATCGTGACCAGCACGGATCCATAAAATTTAAACGAACGAGTTGTAAAAAAGAGTCGTGAGAGTTGAATCGGATTACAATGCAATCGTTCTTTTATACGGCTCGTTCGTTCAAAGAGTACTGAGAATTGATTCATTACTTACAATACGGTTCGTTCAATTGAATCGTGACCAGCACCGACCCATAAAATTTAAACGAACGAGTTATAAAAAAGAGTCATGAGAGTTGAATCGGATTACAATGCAATCGTTCTTTTATACGGCTCGTTCGTTCAAAGAGTACTGAGAATTGATTCATTACTTACAATACGGTTCGTTCAATTGAATCGTGACCAGCACGGATCCATAAAATTTAAACGAACGAGTTGTAAAAAAGAGTCGTGAGAGTTGAATCGGATTACAATGCAATCGTTCTTTTATACGGCTCGTTCGTTCAAAGAGTAGTGAGAATTGATTTATTACTTACAATACGGTTCGTTCAATTGAATCGTGACCAGCACGGATTCATAAAATTTAAATGAACGAGTTGTAAAAAAAAGTCGTGAGAGTTGAATCGGATTACAATGCAATCGTTCTTTTATACGGCTCGTTCGTTCAAAGAGTAGTGAGAATTGATTCATTACTTACAATACTGTTCGTTCAATTGAATCGTGGCCAGTACAGATCCATAAAATTTGAACGATGAGCCGTAAAAAAGAGTCGTAAGAATTGAATCGGATCACAATGCAATTGTTCGTTTCTACAGCGCGGCGATGATATAGGCATAGAGAGATTCGGGCACCAATATTTAGATTTTAACAAAAGCCCTAAACAAACATCATGGACATAAAATGCACATGATAAGAAAGTTATTTACAAGAAAAAAACTTATTTATACTGTGCTTAGCACGGGAGTATCTGTAATGCATTTATTTTTCACGTTAATATTTTTGTTAAAATAATATTTACCTATAAACCTTTAAATGTCGGACTAAAAGACGAAATCGTGTTTTTATGTAACTCCAAATAAATATTGTTGGCCTCTGCTCAATATGATAAAAAATGTCGTCGGCGATGGTTATGAAATGAAGATTGCTGTCATTTTAAAATTTTATGGGGAATGTCATCGATGTTAATTTCCATTTTTTCGATCATACGGTATTATAAACTATTTATTATATGATTATTAAATCGAAATTAAAATATACTAAAAATATTAAATTGGTATTATGAATTCTTTAATAAATAGCATATATGAATTCGATTGATGATTTAATATTATTGGTAAAATAATCAACCGAATTACGCCAGTGCCATAAAGTATTGAAAACCAATGAAAGAACTCAGTGGCGTGTTTAGTCATATTATTATTTTATACGTAATCATTAACACAAAATAATATTTCCTTTCTCTATTAATTTTTTTTTATTTTCATTCGAGTTATCTTATTCGCTTTTCATAATACCCATTATTTTCTTAAGAGTCCGAGCGTTCCCAGCGCGTTGAATCAATATACATCAATATGCATCAATATGCAACCAACTATGCAGTCACACGACCGCGGCCGATCGAAGACCGAACGTGGGGAATCGGGATACGCTACTATTATGCAGCTTACGGGCAGCGTTGCCAATCTTTGTGGAATTCGTAATAATGTTGTGGAGCGTTTGTGGAATAGAATAAATGTGGAATTTTGTGGAATTTTCGGAATTATTCCTTTTTTTCTTTTTTTTCCTTATTTAGCTAATACTAAAAAAAACATTAGAAGACTCATCATAATTTTACAGATTTCTGTAAAAAGAGCGTCGCCGTCGAGGTCAGCAGCTAGGTTCGGTATTTAGATCTGCAAGCAATCCGACGAAATTTTCGACATATCACATATCACACGTCACTATATAATGTAAAATCCCTTTAAGATCACGTGGTTTATATAAAAAAAATGTCGGATTGGTCGCAGACCTAAAGACCGAACCTGGCTAGTCGTTGTGGAATTTTGTGGAATTTTGGTATGTTCGCCGTGGAATATAAGTTTGGACCATTGGCAACGCTGCTTACGGGGCTTAGCGTAGTTTTGCATTAAAATCAGCTGGCTCCCCGCGTGTCTGAATAATTAGGTCGCAAAATAGTCAAAATACGGACATTTTTCGGTATTTTTTACTTTTGTAGTCACTAGTATAATGTTTAGTATTCGTATTTTTAAATTGGACATAAAATAATAGTGTTTTGTGAGTGCTTTGCCGGCTTTCGTGTCGTAAAAAGAGGCTGAAATAGAAAAGGCCAAAGGACAGCGTGTAAGCTGCGGTTTTCCAGATTATGTCGTCTTCCGCGCTTGACAATAATTCAAATGTTGACGGTCCATCGGGATTGGTTTCGGTTTCTCTGGGTGCGTGTGACTGTATTGTATGTATTTTAGTAAATCGAGGGTTCCACAGTTACAGTTTTGAAGAAAAACGTCAGATTATTTTTAAAGGTAGGCCGACTCCAGTTTTGAAAAACTTAACAAAACAAACTAAACTCTATTTAAGACATTTTCAAAAGGAAAATTATAATAAGTGTGAGTGGCTGACTGGTTGCGACAAAAAATCTGTGTTATTCTGCTGGCCGTGTATTTTATTTTCAAGAGAAAAGAACTTGTGGAATAAGAATGGTTTTTCTGATTTAAACAATTTACACAAGTTAATTAAAAGGCATCACAGTAGCAAATCGCATATACAGGCTATCGTAAGAGAAAAAACTTTTGGAAAAACAAGAATTGAGCATATGTTAGACAATCAACAAAAATTAGCGGTACAGACACATAATGAAGAAGTAAAAAAAAATCGGGAGCTGCTTAAAAGAATGATAGATGTAGTTTGTTTTCTTGGTAAACATGAGCTATCTTTTCGGGGTCATTGTGAATCTGGGAGCTCAACAAATAGAGGAAATTATGTGGATATGATTAGTTTTTTATCAAAATACGACTCAGTTTTGAAACTTCATTTTGAAAATTCGACAAGGTTTAAAGGAACATCCAACTTAATTCAGAATGACCTTATTTTAAGTGTGGGAGAAGTTATGCTAAAGACAATTAAAAAAGAAATAAGTGAAGCATCATTTGTGGCTTTTATTTTGGATGAGACTACTGACATATCTAATACTAGTCAACTATCGAAAATCGTCCGCTATGTGACAAAACAAGGTCAAATAAAAGAAAGATTTCTTGGTTTTGTTGATGTCTCAATGCAAAGAACAGCTTTGGCTCTCAATGAGATTGTTTTATCAACTATTGAAGATCTTGATTGCGGTTTAAAATTAGTAGGGCAAAGCTACGATGGAGCAGCAGTTATGGCAGGCCAATTAGGGGGTCTACAGGCCAAAGTTAAGGAAACTTACCCATCAGCCCTTTTTGTACATTGTATGGCACATAGATTAAATTTGGTGATGCAACAATCTCTCAATAAAATAAGATAATGCAAAATATTTTTTCAAACCTTAAGCGGCCTCGCAGCATTTTTTTTCCAAATCTTCGAAACGATCGACGACAATGGACCAAGAAGTTTATAAAAGGTTACCAAGAGTAGCTCCTACTCGTTGGAGTTACAACGGCAGACTGGTAGAGACCGTTTTTGAATATCGACTACCCCTTTTCGAAAAATAATGGACAACAGGCAAGATTAGGATAATGAAACAGTGGTGTGCTCTACCGGTTATTTAAATATTTAAATATGTTACAAAGAGAAAGTGATTTTAATTTTCTGTTACTTGTTTTTTCTCAAATATTTCCATTCTGCGATAATCTCTTTAGCGTTCTACAAAGTAAAATGAGTGATATAAATTTTTGTATAAGAAAAATTCAGGAATTTAGGAGAATAGTTTCATCAAAAAGGGATCAATTTGATGAATTTTGGCAAAAATTCGAATATTTGGACATTTTATCTACAGAGCCGGAAAGAAAAAGAACACGGACGGAAGATACTGTGAACGATAAGAAAATGGATCCAAAAACCCAAGCTCGTAAACTGTTCTACGAAATCATTGACAATATTTTGGGCCATATAGACGACAGATTTAACAATTTTAAGAGCCTAAAATTTCTAGAACTCGTCAATTTCGAAGAAAATAATGCACTTTCAGAAGAAGCCTTTAATTCTTTACAATAAAATTATCCGAACTTTTTTGACTTTCCCGCGTTGCGTTCCGAACTGTTTGTTTTATACAATACTTCAGAGGGTTTAAATAAACATAGTGTTAGTGAGTTATTAAAATCTATTAAAGAATGTGGACTACATCGTGCGTGTCCGGAAACCGTTAAGCTTTGTGAACTGTCACTTACCATACCCGCGACAAGTACATCAGCAGAACGTAGTTTTTCTACACTCAAGAGGATTAAAACTTTTATTAGAAACTCTAGAGGACAAGAAAGACTGTCTGATTTAGCAATGCTTTCCATTGAGCAAGAACTACTTCAGGAACTTTCTGAGGAACCAAATTTTTACAACAACGTTATAGATGAATTTGCAAAGCCAAACCGAAGATTGGAGTTGCGTTTCAAATAAGGTTAGTCTCAGTAGTAAATCATAAATTTTGATATTTTTTAAAGTTTTTTTAGTGTTTAAATATTATAAATTTATACGGAACAATATTATTTTCATTATTAATCTGTTAGGTAAAAAAAAATATTATAAAAAACTTGGAACTTGATATAAGACTTGTCCCCCCCCCCCCGCGCTCGTCCGCCACCCAACAGCTTCCCTATTTCTCAAGGGCTGGACACGCCACTGAAAGAACTGTATATTTCTTTTCCTGGTTACTCAAATAATTGTCCTACCAAATTATCGCCGGTAGTACCAGTTACGATTCTTGTTTTTATGAAAGGTAAATTGTGCATGTGGTTTGTTCAAGTGAACGTAATGCAACATGAAGAATCGTAATGCCCAGCACTAGCCTGTTCGCACCACTATTTTTACACTTTACGAGCCACCACTGCACGTCTCTCTAAATACTAGGTCATTATAAACTAAACGAACTATATCGCGTCAAGTCTTTTATTCATAAATCAATTTGAAACTATCGACAATCGGCGGCCTCGGTTAACCGATATTCCGCCGGGCCGGCTCCGTTCCGATCCGCGCCGCAGCCCTGCTAACCGACCAGATTTTCATCACAAAGGAAATTAAATTTCGCATCGGCATAAATAGGAAACCGAGCGACCGGAAGTGGCCGTCGGTGGACGGGGTCGATCGACTGCGGCGCCCCCTATCTCCGCGACCGGATCGCATCGGCAACGTTCCACAGTTTGACCCTGTGGATATGCCAGACGCACAGGCTCGATGGAATTACATGTTAAGGTTCGGATTGATCTGTAAACAGCGACGATTCGATATGGTTAATATTAGATTGCTTTGTGTGGGGAAGGATATATGGATGTGGGTGTGTTTATCTCTCTCGGTACAGTGCCTTAGAGATTATTTCGGTTATAATACAATAATTTTACACTTGTCCCAAGATATACTTGAGAAAATAATTGAATTAAATTAGTTAACATGTTAGATTAGATATTTTAAGGTGGCTGTTCCACTTCATTCTTTTCAGATCAATTTTGATTCACTTCTTCACTTCTGATCTCTAGCTTACATTCTCCAGTCCTATTTTTTCAAAAAGTCTAATAACTTGAAGACTGAACCCTCCAAATATCTCTTTGTGAATGTCTTATCACTGTGGAGTTTTTTACAAGAAACTAAAAATATAGTAAATACTATATAATATAGAGGGGCCATTTTACAAAAAAAATCCGTTGTCGGTTGAGTTGGAAAATATGTATACTAAAATATATACAGGGTGGTTCGAATTGTATTCCGGAAACTTCGGCAGCATATTCTGCAGATTGAAATAAGTAAAAAAGTTCGTATAAATGTATGTCCTAAAATGCTTGGTTTTGGAGATACAGGGTGTAGAAGTTTTATTTTTATTTCGATTTTTTCTAGATAATTTCTGAAGTAACGTCAATATTTGGACGAAAATTGGTGTTTGGGAGCTTTTTGACATGAGAAATTTGATTTTGATGTCAATATGACTCCTACTAGTAGAGGGCGCCACCTACATATTTTTTTAACTGGTTTGAAGAGTAATAACTTTTCGTCCGTACCTGTATAAAACTAATGAGTAAATAGATATACATTTACGACGTGTTTTACGTGAAAAAGGTCTCTTGGCAAAAATCGCTACGAGTAATGGTTTTCGAGATATTTGGAATCGAAATTATCAATACCTGTCATCATTGACATAAATTAAACATGTTGGATAAATAGTTATTAGACTGAAATCATAAATTTGAAATGTTTTGGTGCCAAAAGTTCAACAGAAACTGTTTTATCATCATTTTTTGCAGAAAAATTTATGATTAATTTAAAAAAATAAAAATTTCCCAAATTTATTATTTCAGTGTAGTAACTATCTACTCAACGTGTTTATTTTTCGTCAATAATGACATATATTGACTATTTCGATTCTAAATATCTTAAGAACGGTTGCTCGTAGCGATTTTTACAAAGAGATATTTTTTTCGTTAAAAGTTACAGAGATGTATATTTTTTCGCTCGGTAGTTTTATATAGGTGGACAAACAGTTATTACGCTTCAAAGCAGTTAAAACACATGTAGGAGGCGCCCTCTACTAGTAGGAGTCATATTGACATCAAAATCAAATTTTTCATGTCAAAAAACTCCCAAGCACCAATTTTCATCCAAATATTGACTTTACTTCAGAAATTATTTGGAAAAAAGCGAAATAAAAATGGAACTTCTACACCCTGTATCTCTGAAAGTAAGCATTTTAGGACATATATTTATACGAACTTTTTTACTTATTTTTATCTGCAGAATATGTTGCCGAAGTTTCCGGAATACAGTTCGGACCACCCTGTATATACAGGGTGAGTTTCTTACGATGTTCTCTATGGGTATCTCGGAAACTACTGGAGATAGAGAGTCGGTTAAATGGGGAAAGAATTGCAGTTTTGTGGGGTCATAAATATACGCCTTTCAGATTTTTTAAAAAGTTCATGGCTTACTAGATATTTCGAAATAAACAAATATTGGCTATTTTAAAAATTGTCCCTAATTCCATTATAATCTATTTTAGACAAAAAGTTTTCAGATAAAATACATCACATATAGATAATCACATCCCTAATGACTTTGTGCTTTCTGATTTTTTCTAAAGCTTGTCATTTTTGACATTTGACACAAACATGTGTTTTTTTTAAATGGAAACCATAGTTGGCCATGACTTCATAAAAAGCGCCATTTTTTAAGCTTTTCAGCTTAAAATATGGCACAGGATATAATCTCATTAAGGATGTGATTATCTACAACTTTTATCTGAAAACTTTTTGTCTAAAATAAATTATAATAGAATTATGGACAATTTTTAAAATAGCCAAAATTTGTTTTTATTTTCAAAATATCTAGTAACCCATGAACTTTTTCAAAAATCTGTAAGGCGCATATTTACGAACCCACAAAACTGCAATTCTTTCCCCATTTAACCGACTCTCTATCTCCAGTAGTTTCCGAGATACCCATAGAGAACATCATAGGAAACTCACCCTGCATAAGGATGGGAGCAGTTTTCACCCTTCCCGTACTTTTCCTTGATTTTTGTGAAAGTCAAATGTCCACGGAATATTGGGACACTCTGTATACTTTAAAACAATTAGCTAAACTGATCAGTCAACTAATGTAACCAATTTAACAGAATTAGATAAAAAACGTATTTTGTTTGAGTCGTACGAGAATTGTTTATTTTTCTCTCGTTCATTTAAAACAGCAGACTGAAACTTTAAACTCGGAATGAAAAACAACAAATCGAAATGGCATTTTCGATACGAAATATCCAATCAGCATAGGAAAAACGAGAGCGGCAAGAGTGAAACTCGATTTTATCGAGAGTCGCGCGCACTAAAAAAAATATCGCGCAAGTGTTTTCGGCCAATCTAATCAGACACTACACGCGCGCAAAACTCGGCCGATAATTAGACGTGGGATCGGGGAATCCCCCGGAGGGACTGCCGTCGGTCGCTTCCAATCCAATTTTGCATTATTTAACGGTCGGCCCGAATTAAACGAAAAACTAGACACGGAGAGAGGGCCAATTCCGATAATTTTTTCCTGTTTTCTCTGCCCGTCTATCGTGCATATTTAATAAAAACAGATCGTGTTTTTATTTTTTTGGCAAAATGTATTTTTGCGAAACAAAATACTTTTTTTCTGAAAGATACTTTTAACGCTGTCTTTATCTTCTGAGCCCATGTCGTTCTTTTGATTTCATTTTGCTTCTGTTCGTATTATTTGTATTAGTAGCAAAACAAACAACTGTTTATAACTTTTAGAATACTTGCCAAAATTTATGGCAGACGCCATTAAAAAAATTGTAAAACATATTATACATAGGTATTGTTTAGGAAACTCTCA